CTGCCATTCCTGAAAGCTAGGTTGTTTTTTTTTTTCCCTGTTGGTCTGATAATCTAAAAATGATTTTTCTCTTCCATCAAATCTCGCCTCGCTTGTGGCAGTGCCGTTCTGGGTTGGCACGCTGCTTGGCAGGCTGGGACATCTGGTGCCTCGACGCTGGAGATGAACGGGCGCTTGGGTCTCTTAGTCCTTCCAGGATCTCCCGAGTCACACATCCAAATCCAGGCAGGTTCCACTTCATTCCTTTGCCTTCTGCAAACCCAGTTCTGCAGCTCAGAGTTGAGCCTTGTAGGCTGAGGAGCCCTGAAGCCAGCGGCTGGTCCGGCTCGTTTGCGGTGAACTCCCGGTGTTGCGGTCACGCACGGCGGAGTCATCCGGGCCCTGCGCTCCTGCTGACACACCGGAACGCCGTGTGTGCCTTTGGCGTGCTCCCGGGCTGGGACAGGGCAGCTTGGCTGGAAGGAGTTTTTTTACAATGAAGGTGGTGAGGCACTGGCACAGGTTGCCCAGAGAAGCTGTGGCTGCCCCATCCCTGGCAGTGTTCCAGGCCAGGTTGGATGAGGCTTTGGGCAACCTGGTGTAGTGGAGGGTGTCCCTGCCCATGACAGGGGGGTTGGAACTGGATGCTCTTTGAGGTCCCTCCCAACCCAAACCATTCCGTGATTCTGTGACTGCAGAGCTCGGTAAACTTGTGATAACATGATGGCTTTGAACCCCGGAGTAGGCGTCTGCCGCGCCGAGCTGTGCCAGCTGCTGCACGGGTGCACGAAGGTGGTTTCTGCCTCCAGCCTGTGGGAGGGGGACGTGGTTTGTGAGTGCTCTGTGGTTCAAGAACAAAAGCTGTGACAAACGGAATAACTACTGCTGTTCTGCAGACAGACAGGGGTAGCAGCCCCTCCTGCCCCGGGTCTGCGGGAGCTTGGCAAGCCGGGCTCTCTGCCTTTCTTGGAAGGAAGGCTGCTGGCAATGCAGGTGCCCCAGTGCCACCGCCTGCAGGTCTGATGTTTCAGCTAGAAATCACCCTGTGGCAAGGGCTCATTTCCGAGCTAAACCCTCGTGTCCCTTTATCCTCAGTTTCCCAGAGTAATAATCCATGTATTGTGGGAAATGATGGAGAATGGAGCTTATTAACCAGTTAAAATTTGCCTTGCCCGTTCCGTGGGTGGGTGCGGATGGGTGTGCCACGGGGAAGATCCCCGAGTTGCCTGGGTGGCTGTGGGAACCGGTGTTGGCAGCTGGAGGGTTCGAGCAGGAATCCAGGTCCTTGATCTTCCTGCTGGTGATTCGCAAACACCTTCGCTGCCGCTTCAAGTCTGGACTGGTGTCTTCTGTGAATTGTGCTGGAGTTGTTGAAGAGGTCTCCAGCTCAGGAGTGGTGGCGGCTGCTTACCACTACACCGTAGCCATGGGTTGTGGGAGCACACCCAGTCTTTATTTGGAATGATTCTGGGCAATATTTGGCTGACTTTGGGCTAGGTGGAGAAGGGAACTTGGAGGATCCATTATGGTGTTCATGCTCTGACATAATAACACATTTCTGGGCTTTAATGTCTCACAACTGTTTCACCTTGACCTTCGAGAGCTCTTGGTGCCTCCTTGTGAGCTCTGTTCTGGGTCTGCTTCCCTTCCACTGTATGTCACACTAGATTGCTTCCGAATTAGATGTTCCTTGTAAAAAATTCCCCGGGATCTGTGACTGCATCCACCTGGTTATTCCAGGCGAATGCTTTTCTCTTGCCCAGCTCGGCAGCGATGGGGAGCAGCGGATGACGTTGGTGCACTTAGCTGTAGGGCTACCTTGGGCTGGAGTTACTGAGCTGGAAGAGAGGGATGGTAGATGAATCCTCGTCCCAGTTTTTCAGACCTGCCTCCCACGTGGCTAACTCCAGTGATCAGGAAGTGTGCTCTGGAAATTCCGAAATTGTAGGGTTTATGTGGTGGTTTTGTGTGTGGGGTTTTTTTATTTAGCAGATGAATGCATAAGGAGTGTCAGCATCTGTAAATAAAACCCAGGAAGGACGTACCTGTGGATGTGCTCTTCAGCCATTGCTCCCAAGGGGCTGGGACAACTGCCATGGAGCTCTGTTACCCCCAGCAATGCACAAGAAGTATCTTGCTCCTGATTCCATCAACTTCTCCGTGGGAACTGGAAGAGTGCATTCTGCTTTTCCTTTTAATTTCCGGTGGTTGCTAACTGGAATTCTTTTTTTTGTGTGCTTTTCAGGTGCTGGAGAGTCTGGGAAAAGCACCATTGTGAAGCAGATGAAGTAAGTGAGAGTGCAGGCATGTGAACTGCATTTTTGTGTGAGATGAAATAAGGAACCTGTGGTGCCTTTCTGGTTTGGCTTGGGAATGATGGCTTGGTTTTCTTCCAGGATTATTCATGAGGACGGCTACTCGGAGGAAGAATGCAAACAATATAAAGTGGTTGTCTACAGCAATACCATCCAGTCCATCATTGCAATCATAAGAGCCATGGGCAGGCTAAAGATAGACTTTGGGGAAGTTGCCAGAGCTGTAAGTATTTCACTTATTTCCCTTAGTCTGAGTTTGTGCTGTGAATTGTGTTAATAAATCCTGGAAATTCAGGATCCATGGCACTCACAGTGGAAAAGTGTTTGTTACAAGATAGAATAGCCAAAGACCCTTCATAAACTGTAATGTGTTACCAGTACAGACTGTCGAGTGTTTTACTGCTGAACTACTCAAACCTTGAGTAGTTTGAATGCTCAAAAAAAACCCAAACAAAAAACCCCACCCAAACCTTTGTCTTAACTATATGAATTTTGAAGAAAATTCTCCAGTTTGGTTTAAATTGCTTGACATTGGTCTGCAGTAGTGTTTCACAGCGTTGTGCCAGTTGATCTTTAAGCTCAGCTGAATAAATCTTAATTGCTTTTGCTCCTCGTACTTGTCCCCTTAGTTTTCTGAGGTCCTGCTTTTCCCCACGCAGCCCGTTGTGCTGATTCCTTGGGCTGTTGCTAGCGTTCACCTTCGGCACTTCAACAGGGTGGAAATGGAAGTCAGGAAGCGTTGACTCCCGCGGTGGTGGGAGAAAGCACAGACAATGGGGGGGTCAGGGGCTCCTGAAAATGTGCAGGAGAAAGGAATTGTGTCCGTCAGCTTAGGACTGATGGCTGCAAGGCCTGCGACTTGCTGTCTGGCACTAATTCCTCATGCTTATGCTTAATGTATGGTAAGTGAAGTGACCTACTCTGTTTCTTTGTGATGCAAGTGCAGATGTTTTGAATTTACGATATAAAGCATCCTGGCTGAAGGGCATATCTTCACTTGCACGTTAATCTAGGCTCTTGGTCAATGACTGCTCCAATTCCTCCTTGGTGTTCCCCTCCACCTTTCCTCTGCGTGTGTCAAAGCTGAGTGGTGAGCTCAGCCTAGCTACCGTAGCTGGAAGGAGGAAGATGTTAAAATCCAAGTTCCTTTCCCAGTTGACCCGCCCAGGCTTAGCTGGCTTCGCGAAAACAGGACAAGAGCCGAGCGCCAAGAATTTTCTCGTGCCCGATCCACCCTGAAGGATGAGCAGCCAGCCACGCTTTCCTAGGGAGAGACTTGGGGTAACAAAATGGATTGTCTCGCAGCAAACCACAGCGTAGCGCCGTACCCATAAGTGCTGTACCTGCGAAAACTCATAACTGAGGTCCACCTCTGTACCGTGGCAGTTCAGACCTTGATTAATAATTTAGGTGCCCGTTGCCTCTACTGGAGAGGTGCCCTCTGGAGTAGCATACGGACCTGACTCCTGCCCGGGCGTAGGTACGTGCTGGGCAGCAGGGTTTAGGGCTGAAACGAGAGGAGCTGGTGTTGGGAGGAGACAGTCTGAAGCTGAGAACTTGCTGGGGTAGCGAAAGGTCTCCCAAAAGGATGCTGGCAGGGCTAATCTCTGTAGAAATAAACATCAGTGTGGGATGTAGGTCAGCCTGCTTTTCACTTTCAGAATCTGCTCATTAACTTGTAGAAGAGTGAGGTCCTGCTCTAAAAGACTTCTGAGGAGTTTTTCATGCTCTAGGGCAAACACTCAAACCCTGATCAGTCCATCCCATCTCCTGATGAAATGCTTTGTTGGGAAATCAGTCTCCTTTATTTCTGACAGCTATTGCAGCAAATGGCAAGTCCTCAAAGCTTTGATCATCCAGAACTTGTTTTTGATACTGCATTTTTCCCTGTTACCATGCTGTACAACACTACAATAGAGGTTTTCCAGTTTAAAAACTGTTACTTTTAGTAAAAACTGCTACGTTTAGTTCGTTAGTCTATAGCAGCACACTGACATCTTTACCTTTCCTCGGAAACACTGCACCAGCTTGCTGAAATTTCATGTTTCTGATGTGAATGCTGCGTGTTGCTTTGGAGCGGTGATCCCTGCAGGGATGATGCTGTGGAAGTGTTGTGTGCCACCTGTGATCGGTGTGTCTCGCCCCACGGGCTGGAGCTTCTTGCCCAGAATTTGCCTTTCCGACCACTGGAGAAAAATAACTTGATGATTTGGGGGAGAAGAGCGGACGGGCAGCGTGAGAGAGGGGATCATGATTCCTTGGAGCCGTCATCCAGCCCCCAGGATCGTTACCGATGTCGAACCTCGCTGTAATTTGTAAAGGTGTAAATGGGTGTTGGTCCTAACTTGTTCCCGTTTCCCCTCTCTGCAGGACGATGCCCGTCAGCTGTTTGTGTTGGCGGGAAGCGCAGAGGAAGGCGTGATGACCACCGAGCTCGCCGGCGTGATCAAGCGGTTATGGAGGGATGCTGGGGTTCAGGCCTGCTTCAGCAGATCCAGAGAGTACCAGCTCAACGACTCCGCCTCATAGTAAGAGATGGCCACCAGCTTCTTGGGGCCTGTTCTCTTTAACGTCTTTATCTGTGATCTGGGTGAGGGGATCGAGTGCACCCTCAGCAGGTTTGCAGATGACACTAAATTGGGAGGTAGTGTTGATCTGCCTGAGGGTCAGGAGGATCTACAGAGGGACCTGGACAGACTGGATCAATGGGCTGAGGCCAACTGTATGAAATTCAGCAAGCCCAAGTGCCGGGTCCTGCACTTGGGCCACAACAACCCCCTACAGCGTTCCAGGCTTGGGGAAGGGCGGCTGGAAAGCTGCACAGCAGAGAAGGACCTGGGGGTGCTGGTCGACAG